AGAATTTTGGCGTGGTCCTGCTGAACTCATATTCTGTGTACCTGCACCAAGCTGCATTATCATGGTGTTTGGCCAGAGAAACTGATAACATGAATACATATATGTTTATCTACATATCATATGCTTGTGTTGGAAAACATTGTCTTTATATGCCTCTTGTATTATATGTGTATTTAAATTTTGGAATGTAATTCGTGTTTTCGAATCCAATATATATTAGCTGCATGCAAGATTCGAAAAAAGGTAAAAAAAACTGCCATTTATCTTTGTAAGGGTTAAAATAATAATTAATCATTGAGATTCAAGCTGTGTATTAATTTAAAAATTTCATGTTCTCACAATAAATGTAATTTTTTTTTACTGTAACTCGGCAGGACATCATCCCTAATAGCACAAAAGAACTTAGATCGTTATCACTCACTTTCAACTATACTAGTGCTTGTTGGAAAAAAACAAGAAAATGACATGTTGAGCACGAAGAGAAGAGAATATCAAGAATGCATTTATCGTCCCAAAGGAATTAATAGTAACAACTAACAAATGAAAAATCTTATGTTAAATCCGGCTACTTACAGTACAAGTCCCTCTCCAAGTCTCCATCCTCCTCGAAATGGTAAAAAGAAATTAGAGAAAAACGAGCATTGTTGGAGTCCAGAAGCAGAAATAGGCAAGTAGTATGGCAAGTTCTAATCAAGTTTTCTTTTATTATCAAGTAAGGATAATAATGTACTTACAACAAAAAAAAGTTCAAAAAATATGTTATATATATATTAAAAAATAAAAATATTCATTAGTTATTCAATCTATCATTGTTAATAGTAACTTTTTTCATTGTTAATAATAATTAACCTCACTAAAAATTTAGTGATAAATTTTTAAAAATTACACGTAAATTGATACATCACTATTGATGTTTAACTAGTTATTCAATCTGTCAAAAATGTTTAGCTATTTAATAATTAATTATTAAAATTATAAGTATTAGTTACTTTAAGAATATTTTAGATAAAATTATTAATAAATATTTATATATTAAAATAAACTAAGTAAATAAACAATAAAATTAACTTATGTACTTTAATTTTTAAAAAATATTTATCTAAGTTAAAATGCATAAATTTATAGAAAATATAATTTGATTTATCTTGTGTAAATGTTATTTAAATTAGAATTAACATTTGAAATTATAAAATTATTATTTTAATTCTTGAAACATTACAATATAAGTTATCATAATTCATATTATTATGATTTTAGAGATTAAAATTATGTTATTTGATTACATTTAGGATTAAAATAATTATATTTTAATTTTTTTGAAAACAAAATAACATTTTTATAATTTTAGAAGTTAAAAGAATTTAGAACTTAATTATAATTTTAAAATATATTTAATATCATTATTACTTAATAAAACCTAATTTTGGTGTTGGACCTCGTAACAATGACATAACTTGCTGTGAACTAATAAAAGATTTCATATATTGTTGCCATTATTCAGTGAAATGTTACTTCAAAAATGCATTCGATATACACATATGTATGGATATACGACTCAAAGTTTATTGTATTGGGTTAGACATCTTTTTGTAATCAAATACACTAAAATGTGAAAATAAATAATAAAAAAAACAAAAATGACCGCTTTTATATATACACCTCGATAGCAGCATGTTATAAACAAATGGTTGGGATGTTTAATTGGGATTCTGATTATCTCCACTCTTTGAATATATCATCTCCTATGAGACAAAGAAAACCGAAACATTTGCCTCAGACTTGTAGATAATGAGAAGGGTTGGGACAAATCTTGAGGAGTCAAATTTTGTATTGGTAGTAATAGATAGGTTGCTAACTCATAGCATTATGGTAATAATAGGTTGCTAATTCCAAACTCTCATGACCCTTTAATTTATATATATAATAACTTGCTTTGTTTTGACGTAAAACACATTTTACAAAGGTAAAAGGAGCTTGCATATATAACAATGGAGCATAGATTCCTAGCCTATGATTCTTGTCTAGAACACCGAAGCTTCTAAACCTGCACATTATCATATTTTAAATTTCCATTTCCCAGCTAACCAGGTAAATCTAGGTTTTTAGCATAGTAGGTTCTGCTATGCAGTGAGACAGACAACTTTTTTTAATATTATATGTCCTGTTTTATAACTGATTATTGAATTGTTAATTGGATTAATTAATGGCGCACTGTAGGTGAGCTAAAGACAATCTCATGGGAGTTCAAAAATTTCTGGAACATTATTGACCTTAATCCAATTAATTACTCATCCCAATATTTTATATCTAGTTATATAAAGTAAAATTTTATTAATCATCAAAAACTAGGAAATAAATATACAAGAGACTCGTGTAAATTTTAAAAAATAATTTAAAACCGCTCCTCTTTTTTCAACGCCAATCTCTATATAAAATTGATTTTAATTAATTATAAATATTTTTATTAAAAAATAATTATTATACTTTCTTATATAAATTTTTTTATTTAGTCTATAATCATATTTGAACAGGAAAGAGCAACGATAGGGAATAAAATACCAGAATTTAACTCGATTACATATTTGAAATTTGAAATTAAAATCAATGTGGGATTAGAAATAGAACGTATAAAATTTTAAATTTATATTTTATTATTATTGTAATTTTTATTAATGAAGAAAAAATCGTAACAATTTTATGTTATCAGCCAAGTAAAATTGTCTTGTTTTATTTTCCTCTTATCAATTAGTGTCTTTAACAGTATTTTAAGACTACTTTTTTTAATGAAAGTTTAAATTAAGATAAAGTATAACCAATGTGAGGACAAAATTAACTATTATCTTTTTTGAAAAAATTTAATAAAATTATGGATCGTTTATTTTATTATTAACACAATATAAGTTTACTTAAAAAGATATAAAATAAAAAAATAGATTTCATCTTCAGTTCTAATAAGTAACAAGTTCTAATTGTATTATTATTGCTGGATTATGCAGTTTTTTTTTTTACAGGTGAAGAGAGAATGCTCTGTAACAGTGTTTCATTTTTGTTTTAAAATAATATAGACATAGACAGTCATTTTCTTTTCTGATTTATCCCCTTTCAGACAGACCAATAAATAAAGAAATACACAGCAGGTTACGTTTTTACTTGTCTAAGAAGATGGGGGAAAGCAATAGGGAATGCAAACTTTAAGAAGATAATCAATGTTTGTTCAGTATTTAGTGAGATAATGACGTTACAGTGATACCCTCATTTTCCGAGAAAATTAATTTTCATGAGAAGTGTGATGAAAATAAAAGTATAAAACACAAAATATACGAAACTTGTTGTTTCTGGCTGTAGCTCATTGCTTTCTGTGGTAATGCATTAAATGCACCTCAGAGCTGAAGCCATTCAATCTCTTAGGTTGCCCATTTTCTCTTTTTGGAAAACGTGCACCACACTTATAACATTACTGTCTCTGCTTCTTCAATTTTTTTTTGGGAGTAAGTGACAGTTCAAATATGCCAAAAAAGATGGCTTTTTGACCAAAGAAGGGTTGTATGGGAAGT